TTTTTTTTTTTTTGCCATCTGGTTCAATTTGGAGCAAATTGAACCATGCTTTATAGGGGTTTTTTTTGCCTTCCTCTGGATCAACAGGGTGTAATTGTGGGCATAGTGTCCTGTTCAGACTTTTCTTCTTTTTTTTTTTTCTTTGTATCTCTATAGGTTGGACTCGATGGACTTGTGTCTTTTTTCAACCTGACTAACTATGTAACTATCTTTGTCCGATTCATAGGATTTTCTTTCATTTTCTTTCCTGTTTGCACTTCAGAAAGTAAAAGAAAATCCAAAATTCCAAAAGTGAGATAAATTCCATCTTAGGGCCCGTTCACACCAGATGCACTGCGTTCCGGCCCGATTCTAGCCAGAACGCACTGCCTTGCATTGCAGCTGGCTCAACTTTTTTTGTGGGGCAGGAGGGGGCGTGGCGGTCCATTGAAGTTAATGGCATAGTAGGCGGTCGGCCGCACGGGATCGCAGAGCACATTATGTCTGCGGTCCGGTGCAATCAAAATAGTGCTTACAGCATTTTGATCAGACCGGACCGCAGGCATAATGTGCCTTGCGATCCCGTGCGGCCGGCCGCATTGTGGCCGGAGGGCGTGGCTACTATGCCATTCACTTCAATGGCCCGCCACGCCCCCTCCTGCCCCACAAAAAAGTGAGCCGGCTGCAATGCTAGGCAGTGCGTTCTGGCTGGAATTGGCCCGGAACGCACTGCATCTGGTGTGAACGGGCCCTTAAGCTGGCCATACATGGATCATATTTCTGAAAATTTGATCCAAGGGTGGCCATGTTGAAGGGTCCAGGTGGAGAATCGTCCGCCAAACAATGACTTCCTCTCTATTCCTGTTCTGGTGACAACTTATGATGTTTAGATCTTCCGTTCCAGTGACAATGGTCACCAGAACAGATACAAAGAGTGACTCTCCCAAGCAGGAACAAAGACAGCAATAAAAACCCATCAGGGGTTCCAACCCCTCGCCACTCTATACAAGACGAACAAAGTTTTGCATTTAGATACACTGAACTGACCACAAGTTTACTCTGAAGTTCCAGCAATGGAATCTGTGTGCCTGTGCATAGAAAGATGGCGGACATAGAAATACACGGCATATGCACCCAATAGAACAGGAAAGGGGCGTTTGTCTGATCACAATGTGCTTCATTTTATGACACAGAAAGAATACATGTATACTATCTGATCTAATCACTGAATGTTCTCCTCTCGTATCTGCAACATGCACCACCATGCATGTGTCATGCGTTATGGTGCACTGCATTAAATATGAGGCCATGCATGGGGCACATATTTATAGTTTGCAGTACCATTAATGCACCACAATGGTGGAATGTGAATTGCCTTTGAATGGATGTCGAAATAAATTGCTGGTCTTTGTGAACCCCGTCAGTGCCAGGGAATCCATCCGTGGGATGTGTGTAATGCAGTATATAACACAGGACTGACGCCTACCTGTCTGCCATTATTTACCCATCAACTGCACCACAGGTTTGTTCTTTGTGTGTAGCGTATACAAAAAAAAAAGTTTATTTTTATGACGGGGCCCGGGGCCATGCCTGGCAGCTTGGAAACATCTCTTACTAATCCTTGCTCAAGCATGCCACTTAATGAAGCCTGCATGACTTAGCCTGTGCGTCTCCAGTGTTGGTGGATTGCCCTGTTTCTGGAATGCAGGATCCTGCCATTCCACCACAGAGGTCACATGTTTTATTATTTTAAAGTCAACCCGTCATTAGGGAAACATGGGGCCACTGCTGACCTCATTCTGGAAATGCTAGTTGCCTGGCTGTATTTGTAAACCTGTTGGCTCAGTGACCCAGGACAAGCAGATGGATCATTATTTCTGCATTTACACTGATTTTCCCGATCTGGTTTCTTGTTCTGGATCAAAGACACAAAAGGATTGAAGCCAGCGGTTCAGAATAAGGCCTCATTCACACGAGAAAAGGCCGGCACGTACAGATCCGTGCTGCGTGCACGGCCGTATCGGGCAGCTCCCGCCAAGGACAGGTGCTGCGTGTGCTTAGTATGCAGTCCCTGTGCTTCTCTATGGGAGTACGCGGCCGTACGCCCCCCTACGCTCACCTCAAGTGCAGGTCCGTGCGGGTGTCCCGGCTCGGACGCAGACATGATCCATCCTGTCAGCGTACGAGTACGGAAACCCACACCCGCACAGGGTGTGTGAGCGTAGGGCGGCGTACGGCCGTGTACTCCCATAGAGAATGACAGGAACTGCATACTAAGCACACGCAGCACCTGTCCTTCCCGGGAGCTGCCCAATACGGCCGTGCACGCAGCACGGAGCTGTCAGTGGTGTGAACAAACCCTGAATTAAGGTGCACATGGAAGGACTTTACAAAGTACAAAAACTAAATATTTTGCAAAAGTTGTGCAAAGAAAATCTGTTTTTAACCCTGGTAGTGTGCTGGGAAACAAAACTTTGATTGACAGAGTTCTATGGCTGAAGGCTGACTAAGGGCCCATTCACACTGGTCAGATGCGTTCATTGTAAGGTTCCGTGCGATTAGCATGCCATACCGTGCAAGCAATGCATCTACTGTGCATGCACTACTTTTTTTAATTGCAGTGCACCGTATATGCCCAAGTACGTGTAAAACTGTCAGTGGCACACACCCCTCTGATCAGTTGCAACTGGGGCATTTCCCGCTACACAGAACAAAGGGGCAGGTAATGTCCTGGCTACAACTGATTGAGCTGGGAGAGGTGAGTGTCACTGACTTGGATGAACTCTGGTGACTGGGTTTGCAACAAGCCCACGAACATCACTAGTCATGGCTTCCTGAATACAAAAGCCAGCAGTTTAGATTTTTTTGTCCACGGTGCAGGCATTATAGACAAACTTTCCCTGTGAACAAAAAAGTGAATTGTGAATTACAACACACACACACACAAAAAGAAGAAAGTGCACAAGGGTGCTTTTGGTCCTCCTCTGAAAAGAAAGGACCACAACTCCCTGAACTCCCCAGTTCACAAGGCTCCTAACAGGAGCAAGTTAACCCTGGTCCACCTAGCCAAAGCCAAGCAGACCCCAAACCTTAGGGACCTGCTGAAGCCAGTCCACCAAGTACTTGGTGAGGGCTCTCCTGAAGAGAGACTCCTGAATGAGGAGAGGTAAAGTAAACCCATAGAGGCCACAGAACGTCTCCCCCAACATCAGGATGGCCCCGAAGGCACCCACACACTCAGTTTTCTGTGGGGGTAAAAGTGCGCATTTGTGCATAAAAAAAGTGTAAGTAAATAAGTGCCAGTGTACGACATGGCAGGCCTTCCAGCAAAGAGGAAAAAATTGCTTCAGGTTACCCACATGGCCAGCCCAAGAAGAGTAGTGCAGAAAATGCTTTAGGTGCCATGACCTAGTGCCAGTGGAGATTCCTCCATCCACACCGTCCATTCTGGATGAAGTAACCAACTGATGCTCTCTTATACAGCCAACGGGCTGAAAGAGAGAAATCGTGCCGTGTATGGTTAGCATTAGTTTCCAAGGACAATACCTATCTTTGTGTAAAGCTTTGTGAACTGAACCCATGCATGTAAAGTCTGGGAGAGTACATTGCAGATTGGTCACTCCTTCCAGTAAGCTGCGTGCTCTCCAGGATTGATTTACATATGAAAACCTCCTACAGCGAGGTGGAAATGCTGGTTACTCTGATTTCAGTAAGTTTGAAGTTAATCATAGAAGGAATGAAATCAGCTGTGAAACTGCCTATCCCTAACAGGGAGGAGTCCAAGTGGCCTGCAGAGGCGAAGGTGTCACTGCAATGTTGCTGAACACTTCCTGCTTGTCACTGCATCCAGCACTTTCTTTGAGTACCAATCTTCTATGAACTGCGAGACAAGAGCAATCCGCCCGTATGCTGCTGGAGCTGTGCCTGGGATTCTGTGTTCTTCCCCTCTGTTTGCTTCCCTCTGTCAGAGCTGGTGAGTTTTGTCTCTGTGTAACTTTTACATCTTCTATCACCTTCTTCCTTCCTCTGGAAGATCTGCTGCTGTCTAAGAGGCAGGAAAAAAAAGTCAAAACTTTAGATGATCATTGGCCAGCCTGGACTGTCCTTGCCAGAGTAGTTGACAATCATCTCATTCAGCCACTATCCATCATCCTTTGGGATATAGCTGATGTTCAGTTTTGTCTGCTGACCTCTATTCCTATGAGCTAGAACTCCGGTATCTGGAAATGTACCTGCAATGCATTCTTAGGTAACATCAGTGGGACGTTCGATGCACAAATGGTGGAGATTGGAATTAATTCATGCCTGACATCTGACAGCCATATATTGTATGATTGCCAAAAGATAATCTACTGGAGGAATCGAGTCTGTTCACCGCAAAGAGAATGTTAAAGAAGAACCCCAGGCAGTTAAAAACGTAACCCTTGCAGTGGGGCTGCCCCGACGCTACAAGAGTTAAGTGCTGGTTTTGGTCTGGGGTATAAAACAAAAAAAGATATACTCACCCGAACCTCTGTCCTGCGGCAGTGACTGCTCACATCTCTCTCCCTCCGGTCTGGCTGTGATATGTACCTCAACTTCCTCACATATAGTACAGGTCAATGGACTAGTATTACATGTGATGACATCAGCGAGGCTCAGACAACTGGTACCCGGGGGGAGACGAGGCTGCGGGGATCACTCTAGCAGGTGGGATTGAGGATCGGGCGAGTATATATATCTTTATTATACACCATAGACCAAAATGAGCACGTAACCCTTGCAGTGCAAGCGTAGCCCCACTGCAATGGTTACATTTTTAACTGCCTTGAGTTTTTCTTTAATGAATAAGGTGAACCTGTGTTCACTTTGAATACCCAATCATGTGAGAGGTAAATTGAAAAAACAAACAAACAGGGTTTTTTTTTTATAGCAGAGGGTAACTTTATTTACTGTTCTTCACATTGGTAAAGTAGACTATACACACAGTGAATTTAAATTCACTGTGTGGGTGCTGCTGTTGGCACCCTTCCACCCAACATCCCTCAATCAGCTGATCAAAGGAGCAGGTCAGATAATTCTCAGCTTCTAGCTCCATTCAGGTATTCTGACAGTGGCTGGAGGCTGCTGTCAGAATACAATAGAAACAGCAGTGTATTCCTGGATCAACACTCGTAAGCATCGATGGAGGAATCCTATTCTATTTTTTTTCCTTCCGCCCACAGGTTGTATGAAAATAATAGAACCATATGCGGTCCATAATAAGTGCAGTGTTTAAAAGCATGTCATAACCAAAATAGTGTAAAGAGTGATGTAGTCAGGCATATGTAATGTACTGTGTACAAAGTGTCTAGGCCAGGGCGTATAAAAGGTACACGGAAGTGTATAGAGTGCAGTGACCTGGATTATGTAACATAGGATGAAGTGTTTAATTATTGTAGGTGACTTTAAAATGACACTAATCTCAGGAGTTAAACCTTCAAAATACATTCAGGTACCTTAACTATTAACCCCTTCACGACCCATGACGGTATAATCCCGTCATGAATTCTGAAGGGTCCCGGCGGAGTCTGTTCAGTTTTGTAGATCCTAGAGCCGGATTTACAGTAGAAGCGATTCTGGCAGCTTAGCTGCCGCCAGATCGCTTCTACGATCCGGTAACCGGGCGCCCCCCCTCCCGGCACCCCTACTACGGGCCCGGGAGCGGCTTGTCAGGTGTCGGTGGGAAGCTGGGGCAGAGATCAGTGAACGTTTGTTCACCAATTTCTTCCCCATTCTATGGGATCGAGAGCGACGCGTATTGCATCATTTCCGGTCCCATAGCTGTCATTGTTGGGCTCCTGAAGCCCAGCAATAAGCTATTGAAGTGCGATCTGCACTTCAGTAGCCTATTTAGAGTGTAAAAGCGAAACTAGGGGTCTTTTGGACCCCAGCATCACCTTAAAGAGTACCTGTCACTGCCAATATGCTATCACATAGCAATTAAAGTAAAGTAAAAAAAAACAGTTTTAAAAATAATATTAAATAAAAAAAATTAATAATTTTTTTGTAAAGTCCCCCGCCAGCACACGCGTCATCATGTAAACAAGCGTGAATCAAGCCTGTCTAGTTAACAAGTAAATTCAATCAATCAAAACTGCTGTGGAAGGCCCGGGGCCGTAGGGCGGGAAGGAGGGGGATTGTGCCCTAGGTGTTTTAGCCTAGTGACACCCCTGCTTCAGTGGAATTACTGAAACAGAAATCAAAATAGGCATCCCAGAATTCCACATATTGGCAGTTGATAGGCTGTGGGGCTTCATTTTAGACATTATATGCGAGTTGAGTTTTGGGTACTACAGAATACTTGACACTTATGCTTGAATTTTCTGGATTTGTTTGCTATTCAGCATTCCTATGGGGTTGTTAGGAAACGAGCGTTGTAGCATTGCACAGATGGAGGTAGAAGGTTCATTCTTTTCTAAATAATACCAAGTAGAGTGGATCAGATGCTTTGCCATATCAGTGTATCTACTGAGTGACTACACTTATCATGTCCTGCCTATGAGTGCTTGGTGCATTTTAGGATAAAATTAAAGGTTACCAACATTAAATGCATAGAGAGAGCCATGTGAGAACGTCTGCAAATGCCAAATGGCCGTCCTATATAGACTTACGCGGTTATTACTTTAAGGGTGAAGAGAACAATCTAGGACAACATAGCTGAACTGGAAAGTGAGCTGAATTGGAGAATCTTTCCAGTTCAGCTATGTTGTCCTAGATTGTTCACTTCTCCTGTCTTCTCCAAACTCTTCACCCTTTAGTGAATAACCCTGATAATGACTTGTCCATCCCTGTTGCTGTTACTGCTTAAAGTTGAACTGCTAGTAAAACGTTTATAAACTTTTTAGAGTGGGATTTGGTTAGAACCTCTGTCAGGTTTTATATTACCTTCTGAGTGTTGATGGTGTTATCCACGCCTATGGCACAAACTGGAACTGTCCAGTCAATGTTCCCCTTTAGTGTTGCATGTTTATTTTGAAATGTAAGGAATGTGGAAAAATAACTCCCTTTCATTGTCCTTAATTTGTGTTGCTCTCCAGCATTGTTGCACAGGGTCAAGAGAGATCATCAAGCCTCAAGGGCGTGTTCACATTGTGAGATAGAACCTATTGGCCGAAGTGCATGGAACTAAGAGGATCAAAGGTGGCTTCAGTTCCCTCTGCTCGTTTTTAGATTGTGCACAAAGCTCCGGCCAGGTGATTAAGCTCTTCTAAGGCTGGCCAAATACCTGTCAACTTTTTTTGTTCAACCCACGGGCTGAACGGAAGAAATTGACGTGATTCCTCCATCAACACAAACAGTGTGTCGATCGAGGAGTCGTAGCTGTTTGCATTGTATGCTGACAGGAGCTGGCGGCACCTGTCAGAATACCCGATCAGAGCAGGCAGCTCATTGGCTGCTGGCTCTGATCGTACAAACATTTTCCAGCCGGCTCCTTTGATCAGCTGATTGAGAAATGTCGGCCAGTGTATGGGCACCTTAAAGCTAAGTCAAGGGAAGTGCTGCTGACAAGTGGGGTGGTGGATGCTGTTCCCCAAGAAGCAATCTGGAGTGCAAGAACACAGAAACCTGCATGAAAGCTGTGATGAACTGGAGTGCTGTGTTTTCGCCATTTACACATTTCTCCAAATTGTTACTTAAAAGAGAACTATGGGGTAAGTGTTTTTCCCCATAGTTTTATTAGGGTCACGGGAGGACATATACTAGCCTCCTCCCGTGACTCAAAGCTCAGTATATAGCAGGCTACAGCTCGCGGTATACTGAGAGTGTCGCAGCCGGGACGGATCCCGACAATGCTGTTGAGATCCACCCAGCTGCGTGAGTGACAGCGGGCTCCGCCTATCTAGAGGCAGAGCCGGCTGTGCCCGCCCACTCAGCGCTGGAGGATCGGAGAGGGGGGAATCACTGCAGGGAGCCGTGAGTGACAGTCACTGCTCTCTGCAGGGAGATGATCGAGAAGTGAGCGAGCGACGGCATGTGTTCGCTCACTTCCCGATCTATTGAGCCGACCTGTGACAGTTTCATTGTCACACGTCGGCTCGAACTATGAGGATGAGTGATTTTCACTCACCTCATAGTTCTCCTTTTAATGTATTTACTGTACTGAGAACCTTCTGCAGGTTCAAGATAAGCCAAAAAAAGATCCCCTCAGTCCTCCATAAGAAACCCATCAGCCTCTGCTTGTAAACGTAAAATAGCAGTTAGAATATAATAGTAGATTACAAGTAAATCTCATGTCATCCATCATAGTTCTTTGAAGTCAATTTCTTGCATACCAGAACAGGGAGTGACTCAGAGCAGATGTCAGACTTGAGCAGTATTCATCATCGATACGCGTCACTGGGTGGATTAATAATTTACTAATATTTTTATGGATTACAATGTGGTGCAAGGTCTGTGGAAATAAGGCACTACATATAAAGTAGTATGCTCCCTTACTGTCATGTCAGCTATGGTAGTGTAGCGCTCACCCCCTAAGGAGCCGCTGAATAACCGGATATTTCTATCCCCCTGCACCAATGTACCGCCCAAATCTTGGATCCACAGCACACCAACACACCTTTGAACAGTTTTATAGCAGATTTAATAATAGCACAATATACAAAGCAACTATGGCAATAGTATACCCAACAATCACACAAAGGGATATAAGGCAGCAGGCTAAGGCAATCTACAACTCAGTAGCTGCAGCTATATATATATTGCATGCACGAAAAACCAGCAATGTCAGATTGTTTCAGATAATACACTTAAATTGAATATAATCAACAGTAATATCTCTACTTAACAGTATCTAGTCCACTCTAAACTACTGGCCAGTAGTACTGTCCTAGGCTAGCCAACGTTGGGGCCCTTGCTGTATAGCAGATGTAGAAAGTACAGTTGTTGCAATGGCCAAAGGCCTCTCACCACTTCCAGTGTCCCTTTGGGAAAAGGAGGATGATTGTCTGTGGA